CATGACCTGAGCCGAAGGCAGACGCTTAACGACTGAGCCACCCAGGCGCCCCCATTATAGTGTTTCTGAACATGGGTTGTTAAACATTAACAAAAAAATATATGTCTGTCTTTATTTACAGTGTTTTTAAGGTATTTATTTCTTTGAGAATAAAATTTGAGTTTTCAAAAGTTAATGCTGAATTACTAAAAAGGAGAATGAAGATAAAGTAACCCTAAACTTGTTATATAGAAATATTTCTTTATATTTACAGAACTATTGGTTTATGATGACTCAGACTATCTTAATGACTGTCTCTTTACTTGATTGGTCTTTCTTCCGTGGAGAGTTTTTGCTCCTGGACACTCTTTGTGGGATCAGAGAGCTTCATTTTGGGATGAAGCCCCTGGTCCAGCCCTTTGTCTTTGGGCATGTGGAATGTTAGCCACATTGTGTTGGTGTTATTTAACGGGTGCCTCACTCATGATTACATAAATGATCAAAGCAGATGAGGGATTTCAATTCACATCTTTTGCCGGGTAGGAAGATTGTTACATCGTAACCAATAAACTCTTCTTCGAGAAAGAACAGTTACTAAGAAGACCTTCCAAGGAGAAAGATTGAGAAAGTCTTGCTCTTCGGAAGCTGACTAAGTTCTTGGTGTAATACAGAATCTTCACAATTTTGTGCCCTCACCTTTATTTAAAAAAACCTATTCCCTTTGAATGCTTCTATTTGAGGCTTCATGTCAGTCTTTTCTGTTTTTTGCTTTTTTTTTGGTCTGGAAATGTTTTAAGTTAGTTTCTTCATTAAGTAGCACCACTAAATGAAGTTATATTAATACTACATAATTTGAATGCTTCAGCATGTCCAGAATTTAAGTGTTAAGAATGACATAACCTTTGGTTCTACAATAGAGATGTGAAGGTCTCGGGCTGCAAATTCTCCCCCACTCCCCACCATTAATCACCAGCCTGGCCTCACATGACTGCCAGTATCCCTTCATCTCTCCTTATTTATCTGTCTTACCTGAAATGTGTGCTTGGTGGAAGAGGATGACCTTCCCAGATAGAAATCTTCAACCCTAAGCACTCTAGTAAAAATAAATGCTTAGCAAAATATGAAGTCTTTTTAAAAAGAGCGAGGAAAGCGAACACCAATAAATGTCAATAAAGAAAATTGGATGAAAGTGGAAATGAACCACCATGCCATGTTCGCCATATGCCCAAGGAACAGGCACAGGCACTAAGGAAGTTTTCTGCAAATTAAGAGTATGTCAACTTTTTAATGTTCGACAAGTGTTTTATATGCATCCAATAAAGCAACTTCAGAAAGTTTCCTGAAATCTGCCAGCTTCCTGCATTCTTTCCACTGCTGTGATAGAAACAAGCACAATGATATGGACCTAGATCTCCCAACTTGGCATTGGGAGGGGTAAGGCTGGCCAAAGCAGGTGGCCTGGAGAGTCTAGGAGAATGGCTGGGCTAGTGAAGGAGGTGTGGATGTGCTAGGTAAGGACTAGAGCACAGAACAGGAAGCTACACTCCAGGAAGAGTCGGAACAAAGGCTGTGTGTGGAGGAAGCTGGAGAAGTAGGGTAGGGTACAGGGAGTCTTGTTTTCGGAGCTAATGCATTTGATCTTAATCTTGAAATCTGTGGGAAACCATTGATGGATCGTAATCAGAGGAGAGAGATCCAGTTTACATCCCAGAAACAACTCTACAGTCAAGTGGAGAGTGCAAAGGGTCAGACTGGTAGGAACACCAGTTGTTAGGCTTTTGGAGAAACCAAATAGGAATGAAAGAGGAGTGTTGATGAGGACAAGTAGTTGAAGGGAGTGGTTGAAAAGCTCCTGGAGAGTTGTCCAAAGGCCCTTAGACCTTCCCACCAGCCTGCCATCATCTGTCTTTCTCAGGACAGTCCTGTTTAAGGGATATTGTGAGGATTTATACGTTATAAAATGAAAACATACTTTGGGGGAGTCAAACCTACTTGAGAAATTACACCTTAGTGGGTATAATTTAAGCTTGGTAATTAGATACATTCCTTTTAAAGACTCTCCCTGGTCTAACCTTAAGCTCTGTTTAGACAGTCAGTCGCTTATTAACTCAATTGACCCACCAATGACTAGGGGAGAGATGATCAAAAGAGCCTACCCAGAGTTCCCAGCCTCTGCCTCACCTCTTCCCCTTGCCATGGGGACAGGAAGGGAGAGACAGAGACACATAAAGTGTCAGGGTCAGAAAACCCCATGCATCTCCCAGGGTTACCTTCTCATTTTATACTCAGAGATGCAGGGCAGAAATCATCTTCTGAGTCCCATTTCTGAGACCCTTAACCTATACCTTGGACTGGCACTGCGAGGCTGAAATTTGAAGCTGGCATCCTCAGACTGCTAATGTGCTCTAAGATCCCTCCTCTGTCCATTTTAATTCAAAACAAGGTGGAGAAATTTGAAATTATTTTAGGGTGAAGGTATTGCTGGTTTTGATGGACTAGTGCTTGCAGGAGTGTGAGCTAGTCACGCTCAGCTTCAGATCCCGCTCTGGGCAGCAGATGGCCAGCCCCAGGCAGTGCACACAAGCTGAAAAATGCATTTCAGAAGCTCAGCTCTAGGGTCAAGAGGGTTGGTTAGCGAGCGTCCGTTTCAGATGTTACCTACCATGGTTGTCTGAACAAGCACACATTGCTTCATCCGGGAATGGAGTGTTCTGGGGCACCTTCTTGGCGGACTCTGAGATTCACCCTGCGGGCAGTGATGAAACAGAAGGGAGCTTTCCTCCTGGAGCCCCATTGCATGGTGCTTACTGACTTTTGCCACGCTCTCTCCAAGTCCATCTGTCCCACCAGTGGGGCCACTGGTGACTGGATGACAAGCTCCTGGGTAATTGATACCACATATTAGATTGATGTGCCCCAAGGTCTGGTTGATAGCTGCATGCTATAAATTGTAGTACCATCTACACTAACCGGCTCTGTTCTTTAGAATAGTGGTGGGCATTTAACCACAGCTCAGTCCCTGAGACCTCACTATACCTCTGGCTTTGTGGGTATAAGCTAAATTGAGATTCTTTGGATGAAAGGGAATTTGTAACCTTAAATTCCTCTGTCATAGTTCATACAGCCATGTCAAGACTTAAAAAGGCCCTACCTAGGACAGACCCTAGGACAGCATTGTGGTAGCTGTAAAAATACCCCGAACTATATCTTCCCATTCTCACCCTATCTTTTTTTTTTAAGATTTTTTTTTTAATTTTTTTTTTTTTATTTGTGAGAGAGAGAAAGAGAGACAGAGAGCATGAGAGGGAGGAGGGTCAGAGGGAGAAGCAGACTCCCTGCTGAGTAGGGAGCCCGATGCGGGACTCGATCCCGGGACTCCAGGATCATGACCTGAGCCGAAGGCAGTCGCTTAACCAACTGAGCCACCCAGGCGCCCCTCTCACCCTATCTTTTGTTTTCCTTTATTACTGACCCTCTTTGACTCCTAACAAGTGGTCCTATTTCCTCCATCTCTTTTCTTTCCCATGAGCCTGAAGAGAGGTGACCTGATTTCTAGACCCACTTCAACCTATAGAAACTATGATCTTGGGCAAATCACTTAAACTCGCTGAGGCTTGGTTTCCTTATTTGTGGGAACTAAGAATAAAATCTACCTTGCTTACTTTACAAAGTGGTTATCAATAAGATTGAGTGGAGTGATAGATGTTAAAATCTTCTGAAGAAGATAGAGTTTTATACCCACTTAAGGTGGTAATAATTCATTACCTAATCTGGGTTACATTAATTCTAGCTATAATAAATAGCCTTTGCATATAAAACAGAAATTGGATCATCTTCCTGTAATGCAAGGGAAAGAAATAATGACAGTGAACGTTTATTCTTTATTGTGATGAAACCGAAGCTTACAAAGATTTAGTAACTTGTCCAAATTTATATTATGTGTAAATGACAGAGCCAGGATTGAAACCCTAAGTGCTAGCTCCACATTTTAGGTAGTTCATAGCTACTAACATCAACTGAGTAGAGGGAAGGCAATTTTCAGGTTCTTACAGATTTTTGTTACTATTTTCTCTGGTATACCGGCTGACCGAGAGCGATTTTATACAGGTTTTTTTCTCTGATGAAGGCAAATAATCTGTGTTAGTATTATTGGGTGGGAATTTTATAGTCTTAGTGTTAAAAAATATACAAGAATGCATGAACCTCAGAGTCTAATTAGTTTCTGGTTGTAGTCCTTATAAAGTTGTAGTGTTGGATAAATTAATCTACTTTTTTCAAATTGGGTTTTCTCATCCTTAAAAATGAGGACAGCAATTTTTCCTTCATAGAGTTGTGGGAGGATTGAATGATCTCATGCAAGCTGAACACTTAGGAAGGGCCTCGCTTACAATAGGTCACTCAACAAATATTAGTGATCTCCTTTACTTTGGCAAAGTGAGCGTGTCTCCTTTTGAAGTTCCAGTGGATGGGGCGGCAACATACTTTATATGATTCAGCTTCGTTTTACACTTAAAAGTATAATAAAAATTATAATGAATATTTATTTATTTTTATTTTTATTTTTATTTTTTTTAAAGATTTTATTTATTTATTTGAGAGACAGAGAATGAGAGAGAACA